GCTGCTTCAAAAAGACATTCGCCTTTATAATTAAGAGGTACGATTCGTATCCCATCAATGTCGTTGAACCACGATATAAATATGAGTTTTTGTCGCCACAAAATGAAAACAAAGAAAATGTTAACGCAGGGGCCATGCGTCTTGTGTGAGTTTAACAAACCTGTCGATTATCCTTGGTGGCGGTGAGATCATTTTTGTTCTGCGTGTTGCATAATCTAATTGAACCGTAGTTCTATAAAAGTCAAGCGTTTTGTTATTATGTATGAGGACGGTACAGTGTGAAAATCTGTTTGCTCATATGTTTCAATGTCGGGTAAATCGTGCGCGAGGACTTCATTAGAGTTAAAATCCCAAAAAGATAGATGACTAATCAATTTTTGCTTTAAAATACCAGCTGAAGATGGAGACAATCAGCCTGCCCACTCTGAAATGGACCCTCATAGGCGAATAACTTAAGCTGTGCATTACAATATTGGGGTAGAAAAAATTGCAACAGAAATGATTATGGTGTCATTAGAACCAGAAAACATACTGAAAATCGGCATGAATGGGAAAGGAGGAAATATATTTAAAATGCTGTTTAATGGTATAATATCAAAATAGTCAAATATCGATGCCAAAAAAATTCAGAATCATACACCATATCTCACAACACACCAATCTTACACCACTGCCAGAAGTCTGTTCCTTAAAACTTATTTTTCTTTTCCGAAATGGAGGACTTCGATTCCTAAACCCTCAGAATTTTTATGGTGAGCCAAAAAAGTTCGAGAAGTAATGTACATTGAGTAGTCGATACTAGTACCCACAAGAACTAATTCTTATTATTTACAAAGAGATACAATTGACATGAGAGAAAGCGACGGGGGGGGGGGGGGGGGGAGAAAGAAGAAGAAGAAGAAGAAGAAGAAGAAGAAGAAGAAGAAGAAGAAGAAGAAGAAGAAGAAGAAGAAGAAGAAGAAGAAGAAGAAGAAGAAGAAGAAGAAGAAGAAGAAGAAGAAGAAAAAGAAGAACAAAAACAAGAACAAGAACAAGAACAAGAACAAGAACAAGAACAAGAACAAGAACAAGAACAAGAACAAGAACAAGAATAAGTCAGTGACATTTCAGGTGTAGACAAAACAATTTCAGCCAACATTCATTGTGACAAGACAAGAGGGGATTTTCTTCGGACATGCTATCTTCGTTTCCATCCTTGAAATCGTGTGTTACGTATAGCCCCCGACGTTAGAGCAACTGGGACCTTTGTATTTGCTGGCAGGAGAACAGTCCAGTTCATTTTTCTTGCAAGTGCATTTCATGGAACCACAGTCTAATTTACATAAATATCTCACAGTTTTGGAGAAATACGTGTGGCATTGATTTCTTGTCCATATAAATTGATAAGAGTTTACCAGAGTCAAGTTTTCAGCCCCGCATTGTGGCTGAAAAATGGTATCTGAAAGAGCACTAATAGATGTCAAGAAACTCTCTCAAAGAAAGAATGATACTCTGTTGTATCCCAGTCTTCTCGCTCCCAGAGGCTTGAACAACCTGGAATGTGGTGGATTTTTACACTGATGATCGGGGTATGAACGTTTTCTTCAGTTGAGTTGGTGTGAGCGCTGCTGTAATCCCCACGCCATGAAAAGTCCTTTCTCCATCTGGAGTCCTTATATGCCTCACACTGAGCACAGCTGTGTGCTATAGTCGTGAATATTTCCAGTGAATGACCCAACAGCAGCATTCAATAGAAATATTTGAGCCTCTCGGTATGGGGAGCAGAGTCCCAGTGCGTTCAGTGAGTTCACAAGAGGTCTTGAGGAGAAGTGTCAATGAAAAAATACAAAAATTTCTACTTGTAAGGGAGCAGTCATAGATCTCTCTGCCGGCCTGCATCTATTCTCATATTATGTGGATTGTAGTACATATTGAAAGTTTCAAGAAACAGCACAAAGAGGCCACCAAGTTAGCGCGTGTTCTTCTCCATAAATATATCCAATTAGATTTATTGATGGATAGACTTCTTTTTTCAAATGTAGATTTTTGGATCAATTGACGAGCTGCCTAGACAATTTGCTTCTGCCTGGCATCCTTAATGCCGTTAGGTGTTTCATAAAATGCTCGTATTCGTATAATTGAAGAAGTCGATTACTTAAATGTAACAACACCTACTCCACAGCAACCTCCGCTATTCATTATGTTATGCTTTCCCTTGCACCTCATCAGTTTTTCTTTTTTAGGTATTGTGGTCCATAATATGATGTACTTTGCCCTTCACCTCATGCAGATGGTCTTCCAAAATGGTCATCAGATTCCGTATGTCTATCTTTAAAACATCTTGAGGCCTCAATGATGTCATTATTAGCCGTTGTCCGTTCGTACTTTCTTTATTGCATCCTGACTTTGGGTCTCGGTTCACACGTGAGTGACATTATAGGTCTCTATGACTTTGCTTGATTGAAAAGTTTTCTTTTCAGACCATAAAACAATCAGCGGGTGCTAAATAGGAACTCTTGGAGACTAAACCAAAATTTGCGTTTCAGGCTGTTAAGCTTCCTGGACTGTTACTAGTCTTACTACGTTTTGCAAAAAGATGTGCACTTATTCATTAAGATCGGTGACTCGAAATGTGCACTTGGTGCCCTTCAGTCCCATCTATATTGTTCTTTTTATGATGTACAACAATCTATACGTCTATATTGTTCTTTTTATGATGTACAACAATCTATACGTCTATATTGTTCTTTTTATGATGTCCAACAGCCAGAATAATATTCACACCTTGTTATGTCAATTGCACTAGAAAAAATTCTTTAGAGGGAAATTACACAGTAAACAAACATCCACTGAAAAGCTCCGGCTGAGGATTTGAGAAAACGTATTCTTAAGGGGGGGAAACTTACCAAATTTCACACATATAACTAGCATAGTAAGGAGTCTTAAAATCTGCAATCAAATTTGAGAAAAAAGTTTCGTTTCCAGGGATACGGCGGCCATATTGGCTTTTGTTGACATGTCTTACGAAATGAATACCGAACTTATTGCTAATGGAAATTCAGTTTTCTTTTGCATACGTGTTAACAAACATTAGATTTAAAAATGAGTCCGTTGTTTTTTTTCCTAAACGAATGAGAAAATTTTTATGAATTTTTTCCAGAGGTAGCATTCAAGTTTACACAAAAAAACGTGAAAATCCACACTCCAGACACCACCAACAAAAATCTATTACATATATCAAAAATGCAACTCACAATATTTTTGTATTACATCTTCTCTTCATTCTGTGAAAATTTCATGAAGATTGAAAGAAAAATGGTGGAGTTATTCAAAAAATTATGGAGAAAAGTCGCGTTTTGAGAAAACGGCCGATTAAAAAAAATATATATTGACTTTATGAGGAAATGGTGGTGACCAAAATGCCTGGTAGGGGAACAAATACCGTTTTTGGGGATTCTTATGCGATGAAATAGTTGTAGGAGAGGCTGATGAAGCCAAAAATGCCTATAACTCAAATTCTATTACTTTGAGCCGAATCGGGACTTTGGGGGTGTAAACCCCCCCCCCCCCCCCCCCCAATCCACACACCACCCGCCTTAATATATTGGCTTCCCTACTTTTTACATAAAAGGACAGATACCGACGACGAGAACATTATTTTCGAGAAAATCCGTACCCATTACGTAAACATTCTCGCGTCAAAGCAAGTACATTATGATAAACCGATTTGGTCGTAATACATATTTCACTTTTTTTGACAACTTTTAACGCTTTTTTAAACTATTTCCTCCACGATTTCGGATGCCGATTTTTATGTGTTATTAGACCCTGTTTTATCTGTCGAACCATATAAGTTTCATTTTTGTTGCAATTTCTTTAGGGTCTACCCTTATCTTTCTTCCACTATCATGAAGAGGGGCGATGAAGCATGGAGCATCCCGTCTTCCTAAGACCCCAGTTCTACATTCAAGTACTTCAGTCAAGTAAGTTTACTTAATACTATGCTATATAGCTGCGCCCCTTTTCGATGAAAGGGATGATCGGTGCATTAACATCAACTGAAAGTCATTGGCCTACTATATTTACACTCTACTGAAATGGAGCAGTAAATTTTGAGAGATTTAAAAAATTAGAAGGTCTAGATCTATACTCTAAAAACAAAATGCACCTCGCGAAATATCACTTCCGGCACTTCCACTCAAGAGGACAGCAAGGCAGATTTGTTTCGTTTCTCAGGGGAATAATCACAAAGGCCAAACAAGGATGGGAACTTTTTCTCAATATATTTGTCTAAATTCAGGAAATAAATCAAAACTCGGGCTCCACCATGAGGATTTATCTATCTTTTTGCAGGTACTTGCCAACTCTCAACTCTGCAGCTGTCGTAGTTTCATGGGAAAAGTGACACCTGTGTTTCAAAGTTGCCAAATTATATAATAGATGTATAGATTTATTCTCTATTCCGCGTTCGTGGTTGTACACTCCAGAATATCAAATGTGTGGAAACAGTGCGCACGGCTAGTGAACAGAAAACTCACTTGTTTACAATGGCCAAGAATAGATCTAAACGAAACAAAAGAAAAACTGAAAATTAAACTACAGTGACTTCAGGCTCCTCAATGAAACTGTGCACCCTTTAAATGATTCTCAGCCACCATTAATTTTGTCAAATTCGAAAGTTAAGTGGTTCCGAAGTCTTAGGTGGCCAAAGTGACGAGCTTTGACAAATGTAATATGTACAGATAGATAGAGATTACTATTATTACTGTTATTATTATTATTATCATTATCTTCATTATTATTATTATTATTATTATTATTATTATTATTATTATTATTATTATTATTATTATTATTATTATACGCTATTTATTTATTCATTTATTTATTCATTTATTCATTTATAATTAAAGTTCATTTTATGCACTCAAATTAGATTTTGTAACATATTATTATCTGTTTTAATTATTTTATGAAATTCCACAGGAAGGCTCTGGCGGTCGTATCATTCATACGTCTATTAATACAGCTCTAGTGCTTGTGCAAGTTCAGGTCTTGGAGAAACGCTGCATGTGAACAGAGATGGCCTCTGGAAACGAAAGTTATGGAACGCCGCTCGGACCACCACAGAGCAGAATGGTTGACGATCATGTCCTTGCAATCATCATCATCTGTTTCTTCGTCATTATTTTAGGAACCATCAGCTTTTTTGGCATTGTGGCTAACGTCATCAACCTAATCGTTTTTATCAGACAGGGCTTTAAAGACACCGTGAACATCTCTTTGTTCAGCCTGGCCATTTCCGATATAGGAGCACTGATCCCGCTGCTCTGGATGAGCATTGGTTTAAACCCTTACTTTTTTGCTGATCCGCCCTTTGATCCCCAGGAGGTCTTGTATCTCACATCAGGGTGGCCACACATTTGCTTTGCCCGTATCTCTGGTTGGATTACAGCCTTCATAACGCTGGAAAGATGTCTCTGTATTGCTATGCCTCTGAAAGTTAAAACAATGATAACAGTAAAGAGAACAGCAATCGCACTTGTTAGCATATACGTTGCAATGATAGGTGCCTTACTGCCAGTGTTTTATGCACTTCGTCTGGAGCCCATATTTTCTCCTCTAAAGAACGAGACCAAGTTTAGAACCGTTTATATTCCTAACGGCTTTGCCATAGAAAGTGCTGTATTCTTGATCAATGCTTTCTCTCAGTTCGTCAGTTTTATCGTGGTCATCATTTGCACTATAATCCTTGTCCAAGCCCTTATTAGTAAGTCAAAATGGCGAAAGTCTACTTCCAGCTTTGGAGATCATGACTCCTTTTCAAACAGAGACAAGAAAGTTGTCAAGTTGGTTCTATTTATTGCTATCATATTCATAGTATGCTTCTTGCCAAGTGCGATTAATTTCCTTGCATCAAGCTTAGAACCGGAATTCAACACCTATGGGAAATACGGAGACCTGTTCGTGCTGATGTGGTCCTTTTCCGCTAACTTATCGGCAACTAATTCCGCTGTGAATATCTTTGTGTATTACAAGATGAGTTCAAAGTACAAACAGATCCTGGACAAGATGCTCCTCCGAAGCACAAAGGGGTAGATCTAATATTAGGATACAAAGTGCTGCTACTTTTCGAAAACGTATAGATCTGTTATAATATTATACAAACTTACGGTGAGTTTTGACCTGCCGTAAAAACTGCCCTACTAATGATTTGAACATACAGTATTATCAAATCCTGACAACACCGAAAAGAAAAGGAATAATTCTCACATTTAGTTTAAAGAATATAAAAGCGAAAACCTTATAAAGAAACCAAACCAACATTCCTACAGACCAAAAAAACAATAATTAATTTCGTATGCCCCACTGACACGATTGAAATAGTATAGGAAGCAGGCTGCTTTGACCTGAGCGCAGAGAAGCTGTCGAGATTTCTGTTTTTGCGTCCCTCAGCCTGATGTCCTGTCGAGGAGTTCTCTTTCCTATAAACCAGTCCATTCTTTGATGTTGACGGCTCAGATATTTCATAAGAATAGTTTAAGATTATCGGATATTTTGGAAGACGGCAGCCTCTACAAGGCAACCAAAAAGTGTTTCATCTTCGCCCATGGCTTAAGGGACCTATAGGCCTACTGATTTCATATAAATTTCCTTCACAGAAAATAATAAAAGGCCCCTACAGCAACAAGTCCCCCCCCCCTCGCTTGTAAACAACCGGAGCTTTCCTTCTAAAGTCAATTGAATAAATGTAGTACTTGCTATGTTGTTTATATTATCGGGCTTATTGGACACCTGTATCATATTTATCTTTTTTTCCTCCTTTTTTCTCGCCAATCTGGTATCACTTAAAAATCAACCCTGTGTACTTACTATAATAAAGAGTTGATATATCACGCTGGTTTATTTTTTTTTTTTTTTAAGAATCAAATCTTGAGTGGATAGACAACCAGAAGTAATAAACGTTTGTCAGTTAAGATTTGGTTTTCTGGTGACTTGTTTTTATGTGTTACGTATGTACGAGGGCTCTCTGTCAAGTAATTTGAAAATGGTAAGTGGGAAAGAAATGTTGTATGGATCTGAATAACCCTCACTCACTGTTATGTTAGATTTCATTATAGTTCGTATGCAATCAAGGAGTTTTCCATCCGATGATCTAAAGCTTCCTGGAAAAGTCCGGATGAAAAGACTATAGCCAAAAGCGAACGTCTGCACAAGGATCTTCACATTATTCGGTGAGCTTCTTTCCAACTAGAAAAGGCTCTTGAAATCAGAAAAGATGAAATTCGAATGAAAAATGGTTTTCAGACTGTGGGGAAGATGCAACAATAACAATGTCCCTGCCCATATCGTAAGCAGATTCTCGCAACTGTCAACAACGATAATCGTAGTTCATTGTAGATATCTATTGATGAGTCAACTAAGCCGAAAGACTATTGAAAAGCAGAACTGCTAACATCAGACTTTTTCGGAGCCCTGCAAGCTGTACATTCGTTTGTCCTGCGTAGTACAAACTATTTCAGAAAAAATAATCCTTCTTTTCTAATCACATTCTTTGCCTTACACGTCTACACTTTCGTTGAACATTTCTCTGCGTATAAGATCTTTACACCTTCTACAGTACTAGCGTATAGTTTAGATGATTTCTCATAGGTTTTTTTTTGTTTTGCTTTGTTTTGTTGTTTTGTTGTTTTTTTTTGTTTTTTGGGGGGGAGGGTTGGGGGGAGTCAAATTTGTTTTGTTTTTTTGCTGTTCTTTGTTCTTTTGTTTTTGGTTTTGGTTTTGGTTAGTTGTTTTGGGTGCGAGGTGGATAAATGCAGTACTTAAAAATCGATGAATTACCTTACTGCAAAACATTGAATATAAACTCAGCAATAGAATGGAATCGTACCAGGTTAAAAGTTTCTTTTAATTCTTTCTACAGTGACTCCGTGACACCTGTACAAACAACGTGGTAAAGTTTAGTGTATCGGTTGTTTGACATTTTTTTAAATGTACAAGACATAATATGATCGGTTGCCTAGTGGTTAGGATCTCAGACTCGCAACCGTAAGGTCATGGGTTCGAATTTTGTCACGGGCCCGAAGTTGTGTCCTTGGGAAAGGCACCTAACACGAATTTTCCTCACTTCACCCAGGTGAAAATGGGTACCCAGCTATAGACAGCGAGAGATCTTGTCAGTTTGTTAGTGTTTGAGCACCTAATCAGCTGATTGCACTGAATGTTTCCAGGGAAACTGGGAATGTTTCGGAGTGTTCTATGGTCTGCTGGGGCATCAATATAGTGTAAAACGCACTGAGCTTGCTGTAGAGCGGGGCAATGCGCTATACAAATGCTATTCATTATATGTTTTATTTTTTTAAATTATTATTTTCTAACTCTAATCCACTAAATATAGACTGATGCAACAAAATAATGATATTAATATAAAAAGTAGAGCTATCGATTGACTTGAAATTCAAAGGTAAATATGTAGAGGCATAGCACACGTGAACAGATTTATTGAGTGGAGGTGTAGAGCAAGACAGGTAAGGTACAGATGAAAAGTTGATAATATCATATTCTCTCTTTGCGGAGCTGGAAAATTGGATGATAAAACTAGCTGCGTACTACGGTGGAATAACTTTCCGAGTACTAAGACAGGGGAAGTGGGAACTGGTTGTTCATAAATGTGATTTTCTTGAACGGGTGGTCCTTCAAGCAGGTTTGACTGTACGTCTTCTAGTATATTTAGTCGTAACATTAAATAGCGTCGATTGCTTTATCTTCTGTCAGTCAGTCAATTACGTATCATGACCTGGGTTGTCCAGCTCTTTTACAAATGGAAGACATCGTTTTGAAATCAGGCGCTCGTCAATATAATGAAATTGAAGAAACCAACATTTTTCCGCAGGTTAAGCTATTCTTATTGATGTTTATTTTTTGACTCAACACCATGTATGTCTTTTTAAAAACACATTTCTGTTTGGATTTCACTGGGATAACAGTGATCGAAGGCACAGAAAAGTAAATTTATAATTTCAAAGGATACTCAAGCTTTGGATATCACTAAATTTGGCAGGCAGCCATTCTCTCGCTAATTTACCTCTGACGCCCCACCTCATACGATCACAGATATCTCGACTTCAAATAAGGTTGTTAGCTTTTCTTTTTTTTTTCATCAAAAGAAAGACAAATGAACAAGTTTTAACATAGATCTAATACCACAAACTCTATGTGCCTAAAAATGGACTAGCGCCTTATTCCACTGCGTCGGGACACAAATAATCAGGGACACTGCTCGGCGTCCATTGTCCAGTCTAGCGTCCGTCCGACCAACTGTCCCTGGTTTCGCCTGGTGTCATAGCGGAAGTAGTCGTTCCCTTTGAAGGTGTAGATCTGATCATCGTGCAACAGAGGTGCGTTCACATCACAGGGGAACCCCAACTGTTCTGTGCTCAGGTCCGCTGTGGAAGGATTATCTACGCGACAAAATGGAGAAAAATATAAAGAGATTGAAAAACGTTCAACGATGTGTGTGTGTGTGTGTGTGTGTGTGTGTGTGTGTGTGTGTGTGTGTGTGTGTGTGTGTGTGTGTTTGTGTTTGTGTGTGTGTCTCGATATCTTATACAGCACAGCGAAAAGTAACTATAAGAACAACAACGTGAACAACAACAACAACGACCAAAAAGCAACTAAAATAACAATAACAACAAAAACAACAACAACAACAACAACAACAACTGCAATAACAACAACAATTGATCAAACACAGAAAGGACTTCAACTGGTATTTTCCCGAGGCGCAGGCGTCTTGCGGATGGCCTGGACTTTATCGTCCATGGGCTGTATGCCATGCTTGCTGAGCCTGTATGACTTTTTCTCTCATGAATTCACATTTGCCCTTTCGTATAGATAATCCTTTTTCCTCACAGATGGAGAGAACCTTGCTAAGACTCTTCATGTGTTCTGTATCATTTTCCCTGTGATGTAGAGATCATCAAGATAGTTGACGCAGTTGGGAACATGACGAAAAACACTCTCCATAGTGCGTTGAAAGATGCCCGGTGCCGCTGCAATCCCGAAGCACTAACGCTGATAAATGAACAATCCCTAGTGGGTATTGATGGTTGTCTGCTTTTTGGACTCTTTGTCCAGCTGTAACTGAGTATAGTCATGTTGGAAATCAAGCTTTGTGAACTTCTCACCTCCGGCCAGAGCGTTGGCCAGGTCCTCGACTCGGGGAATAGGGTGACTGTCATTCTTGACCACTTTGTTCAACGTAGTTTTGTAGTTGCCGCAGATGCCCACATACACAACCATCTTTCTTTGCTACCGGGACGATGGGTGTTGCCCAGTCTGAGAATTCCACGGATTGAATAATACCGTCTGACTGGAGCCTGCTCAGCTCCCCTTCAATGCTAGCTCACAGTGCATAAGGGGGTTGACGAACCTTACAGAACTTGGGCGTTGCAGCGGGGTTAACGTGTTGTCTGACAGCAGCTCCTTGAAGACAGCCCGCTGAATTATTGAGCACATTCTTATATTTGCTAAGCAAATCTTCCAGCCCCTGCTCATGACTGCCCATGTGATGAATGGGCCATTCTATGCCAATGCTTCCAATCCAGTCCTGTCCTAACAATGATGGCCCTTTTCCCTCTACTACTAGTAAAGAAAGTTTCTTCAGTGAACCCTTGAAGCGAACTTCCTCCTGAACTTCTCCCCTGTGTACGTTCTGAGTATTTTTGACGGATCCATAAGGGGTTGCCAATACGTTTCTGAAAATTTAATTTGTTCATGACAGTTAGTGGCGGGCCAGTGTTAATTTGAAACATAATGTTCACCACATTGATTTTCACTGAAGTATAGAAAGGAGCTACTGATGAACCCAAAGAACACAAGTGTGTAGAACAGTCCTGTTCGTCTTCACTGGAAAAAAATCCTTATTTAACACATGTCTCTTGTGAAACGTACGCTTTACGTCCTTCCCACCACCATTTCGCTTGGTAGACCGACACATGGCTGCTAAGTGGCCGACTTTCTGGCTCGAAAAACATTTGCTGAACTTAAATTTGCTCGTATGAGGTGTGTGTAGACCAGCACACCTGTAGGACGGGATCTTCACTGGAGAAGTCGATGACTTCTCTTGCGGAGACGATTTCATCGCACAGACTTAGTCAGGAGGCAATAGGTCTTGAGCGTTCTCTGCGGCGGTCTCCATTGCTTGAGATATTTCTAAAGCTCTCTTAAACGTTAGGTGCCGTTCAGAAAGCAAACGTTGATGTACTTTCCTGTTGTTTATGCTACATACTAGCCTGTCTCTCAACATTTCTTCCAGTCTGTCTTCGAACTCACAATGTTCACTTAGACGCTTAAATTCAGCCACATAGTCTCTCACGAACTGTCCGAGGGCTCACACAAGAATTACACTTGAAACGCTGAACGATACTGGAAGGGCGGGGATTGTGATGTTCTTGTAGAACATCTATTGTCTCAGCGAAAGAACGTTCTCCCGCTTTGCTAGGCGCGACTAAACTGGTAAACAACTAAGTTGTACATTTTTGCACCTACTGATCTGAGCAGAATGGCTTTCTAATTTTCTTTTTCGATTCGTCACTCACACTGTTTGCACAAAAGAAAATAATAATATGTTCTAATCTTTCGACATATTCTTTCCACGAATCCTCCTTCTCATTGAATACATGCACTAAACCGATTGTCGCCATGGCCAGTTCACTACGAATTCTCCTCGTCGCTAATATATTATCTTCAACATGACACGAGGGTTTATTCTGTACTGAACTGCCGTGATTCATGAGTGATTCCTGAAAAACACACCTTAAAGGTCACGTGATACACACATATATAAAGGACATAACTCGCAGAATACAACGATCACAACCACACACAGTTACTCTCTCTAAACAATACATCACACAAAGCTCGAAAGTTTTGTATATTTATTATTCAAATCGCAGTTTCACAATATGTGGTAATGGTTGCAAGTGCTTGGTAAATATTAGTCAAAGTTCAGATTCCAACTGTTAACAAGGCTAGAAAAGATACACATTGCCGATACAATTTCAAAAAGAATGTAACAGTTTTTCTTCGCTTCTGGAAACAAAACTAAAATAACGAAAAATACTTTTTGGCTTAGAACACACGAACTGTTTGACGAACTAATCTTTTTCAACAAAGGCAAGTGGTTGTCTATTTAACGTCCTCTTCGAATAGGCTTTTCTGCACAAGATACTTAAACAATATGGAAACTATGACTGTTAACATTATGGAAGTGACTACGAGAAAAATGATAATAATATGTATATTTGGAGACGCTATGTTTTCTTCTTGACATACACACAATGATTTTTACTTTAGTTTTGTATAGGGTTTTACGGCGCTCGCAACTGCATAAGGTCGTACGAGCGCATACAATGATTGTTTAATTACAACAAAGGCTGGCAAATTAATTTGTTTAACCACATAACCGAAAGATGCCTTCTACATGGGTTTTCATCCAAAGGAAAGGACAAATTCCAACTCCTTCCTTCTAAGTAGTTAATCACTCCCTACTTATAAATGTGTATATTTACAACCCAAGAGTAAATCCAGGTGTAATCTATCCTGATATTAAAAACCAACAGTCCTGCCGTATGTTCGTGATAGAAAAAAGGACATCCAAC